AGAGACATTTCCAGGCCCTAAATGTTTTTGACGTTTTCAATGGCGAGCAGTCCGCGGCCGCTGCTCGGGCGCACGGTGCATGGACACGGTACGCACCAGAAGACACGAATAACGACGCATGCCCTATCTGACGCTGTCAACTGCACTTCTGCTTGAGTACATGTTGGTTCCTGATGGCTATGGTAGCGTCTTGTAGTTGAATTGCACCAGGAGTTGCAGCAAAGTGTGATGCAACTCACGGCAGGCCACCACCCTCCACAACCAGCAAAATGCCTTGCGATTCACTAACCGGGACTCCTAGATACTAATAGCGAGTGCATTGGAGAGTTGTAATTTGAGGTACTGTGCCTTGAGCAGTTCACAACGGACGTCGTCTGTGGCCAACGGCGCTGCCTCTAGCGTGGCGTAGTATCGAGCTCATTTGCGCGTGCTTATCCTACTATTTTGTGGGCTAATTCCCCATATACACAATGTACAGATCCACGTCTCTACCAGTCTATGACCTCTGTGTTGAATCATGAATGGCTTCTGCTTGTTAACGTGCTGCGCTACACCTCCACAGGCCGCAAAAAGAGTACAGTCACCATCAGTTTACGCAACTAAAGTTTCAGGAAAGCTGATGCTTAATCCNAGGCCGCAAAAAGAGTACAGTCACCATCAGTTTACGCAACTAAAGTTTCAGGAAAGCTGATGCTTAATCCTTTCTTAACAATCAGCGCACTGGTGTGGCACTCTGCTACTCCATGGCAGTCAATAGGTGTGTGGTGTGCGTGACCGCTACAGAGTGGGCATTTTGCGACGCCTAAGGAGGACCAACCACATTCCTGAGCACTCTGTGATCCCAGGAAAGTATATGCAGAAAGTGAAAAACCAACGAACAGAAAACAAGATTTACATTGGGATTCTTGCCTCCATATACCTGTTTGTCCTGAACTCCATGCAATTGCTGAGCTTGCTTGTTGACCCGTTCAGAAGTCGATGCGGAAATCGATGTTGGGGGGACTGTCTGGAGGATGTGTCTAACGAGACCGCTGTTTCAAAACACCTTTAGAAAACGGGTCATTAGCAACTTCAGTGCATACAGATTGTGAAAAAACGAGTTTTGATGCAATGAGATGAGAGGAGTACAGGAATTTGGAGCGCATCCAGTGGGCCCCAGGGGGCGCAGAGTGACTTCCTGAATCCGTCCTCCATTTCCTGATCTTATTGCCTCATAACATCAATTTACGGCCTATAATTTGGGTTATTTGGGTGGACGCTTGGGGATAGACGATTCTTCGTGCGTAGTCCTCCTTTCGTGGGACCCTGCGTATAGGTTGCAAGACACCAGAATTCAAGGAAACTATGGAGTGCCGCGTATCAGCAAAATGAAGGCAGGGTAGACACGAACAACACTCCTTCACTTTATTCTTCAAACAGCAGGTCTTCGGCGAAGCACCGATTCTCCTGCCAGCGGAATGCCGAACTGTTCTCATCCACAATGACCCCAAGATACCATCCACCTAATCCGGACCTCCAACAGTCGCCAGGAAGGTTAGCGTCTCACACTCCAAACACTAGACATGAAAGCGTTGTCTCTACTTCGTCGTCTTCACACCAGTTTGTTGTTGGTGCTGGCCGGAAGCCACTGGAACCACGCCTATCTCGGGGGAAGTGTTTAGCGTCGGCTCTGGCATCCATCCTTTCACTTGTGACGATCCTGGCGGTGTTGGCACTGTGTCGGACCAGCCAAAGGAGACTGGATTCTGGAGGAGCAGTACGGCGTAGTCTTTCGGATACGGAAGATGACCGGGAGCAGTCGGAAATTGTAGAGCAATGCCTGGATTTGGAACAGGAGCTTGGCCTTCCGGTAGCTGCTTCGGCGTACGGCGAGGAGGCCAGCGAGGCAACCTCCAGAATAGTCGCCATGCTATATGATTCTGCAGCGGCTTTTGAACAGATGAGGGTTCTTGGTTTACAGAAGAGACAGGATGGGGCTCATTCGCCCCCGCCTAAGCTTCCTCGGCTGCACCAGGCAGGGCCGCCCGCCTTGTACTCACAAGGGTCTTTCGGCTCCTTCTGGCCACAGTCTGGTGGAGGGCTAGTCGAAAGTGTTGTCGGCGCCTTAGATGCAGATGCCTGGGTGACGGATGATTCTGAGCTAGTCTTTGGAGAAGGCGAGCAGCAGCGACACATGGCGAAACCGGAGGAAGTACCAGGCCTTCAGCGGAAGGTATCATCGTCTCAAAGTTATCCGTTGGCATTGTATGAAGGAGACAGTAAGCCGTCGGCTGCTCTGTCGCTGGGCAAACCGAACAGCGCTGAGCCCGGGCTGTCTCCTAAAGGCTGGATCGACGGTTCCTNGTGAGGGAAACTCCGCATGCTTCTACCAGTGCAGGCTCTGTGGCAACTCTCAGTGAAGTTGAAAGTGAAGTCAGTCGTAAGGTCCCACATGTACACGTCGGTCAAGCGAGCACAGTGTTCTCATCTCCAATCAAAGCAGTGCATCCGCTAGATCACCGGGAGCATGCTGTTATTTTAGATGGCTTGAGGATGTCAGCGTCCGCTGCAGCTGCGCGAGCAACGAGCTCTGGTGGCGGGGAACCCTGTTGGCCTGGGGACATTCGTCTGCATCCTTTTGTGCGGTTGCCAGTGGTAAATCCTAATGATATCCCCAGAAGCTTCAGCGAAGAGTTTGCATTGTCATTAGACTTAAGTATTGTCAGTCCGATGGAGTCATACATGAAAATGCGCAATTTATTTGCCAAGGCTTCGCTGACAGCTGAAGACGCGGGGACACTCATGACGGAAGCTGAACTATTGGCAAGCTACGCAGCACATAAGCTAGCAAAGCCACCTACACAGTGCGCAGCTTGCCACATTGTTACGAAATTGTCTTCCATGTTTATGGTATTTGACTATCTGGTTTGCACAATTGAGGTCCTCGGGAAGAAGATGAATACCGACAGATGGTGGACCAAGTTTGCGCAGAAATTCCACACGGATTATCTCCTTCCTGAAGCTTCAAGAACGCTGAAGGGAAACGTCCTGAACAACCTAGTCAATCGGCTGAGCGCTGCACTGTCAATATATAAGGAAGGAAGACGTCCAGAATTTGAGGAAATAATTGATCTGAAGCGGGCAATTTTTGCCCATGCGCCTAAGAACAGCCAGTTGGCGAACCCTCTGTGGAATCTCTGGAAACAGGACGACCAGGAATTCTCGTCTTCTAGTGGCCATATAGAAAGTCCTTCTGATTCCAAAGGGCAGGGCCAACGATAACAAGAAATACCCTGGTGCCTCAAGCTCGTCGCAGGGCCAAGTACGAATTTGCCCAAGTGTATGGGGCGGGCCTACGGTTTCCTGAATGCTGAGAGTTCCGCGGGTACAAGGTTGCCAACGATGGCCAATGCTGAGAGTTCCGCGGGTAGGGTACAAGGCTGCCAACGACTGCCGGACGTATGCGCGAGTCTTATTCTGCTTTCTGTTTGGCTCTTCGGCAACTGCTGTGGAAGTTCCTAAGGACGAATGCTGCTGCTGCTTCACAACGCGCCATCGGGTTTCACTCTTTTTTCAGGCTGGCGTTTACGCGCAGGCTTCATACGGTGTGTCGTCGCTTGAGGCTCCAGGCTGGCACAATGTGGCAGTTATCCTGATTTCTGGAGCGCCGTTTGGCTTCCAAACACCCTCGCCTGTCTTGGATTAGATGTTTATTGCTTTCCATGCTAGTCCGCGCGCGGAGGAAACTCCACAGGCGTTGCACGTGAAGCGTGAACTTTCCGCAGACCTTTGATTGTGGAATTGCCTATTCGTGTTGTTGCTACAGAAAATCCAGTAGCTACCGTTATGAGAGCAGTATCCTTAGATACTGCTTTCATAAATAAGCATCTCGAGTTCTTGATCTGCGGTTTCTTTGGAGCTTCTGCCCTAGGAGTGTAAACCCAGGCCTGTAACGTGCATGACTGCCAAAATGCTGTCGGTTAAGAGGCAGTTTCAGGCCCTGAGTGTTTTCAACTTTTTCAGTAGCAACAAGTTGGCAGCCGCGGCTCTGCCGCACAGAGCTCGAAGACGGCAAGCACTAGAATACATGAGCATTGTAGCTTGCCGTGCTTCCTGTTGATGTATGCACTCTCATTTGAGTACAAACTGATTCCTGAGAACATGTTAAACCGTTGCGTACGGTGTTGGTGCATGCATAAAACGCGGGAGGGGGAGGGAGGGGGGGAAGGGTATGCTAACTTCGGCGATTTTCTCACAGCAGTGCAGCAGTAGCAGCAAGACCTGCCGCAGAACGAGCAAGGCAATCTTCTCGAACCACGAGGACAAGCGGCTGTGCTTGCCTGGCCGGGACTCGTAGACAGTGGAGCGGAGGACAGCCGCTCTGGCAAACTAAGATTTAAAACTTTTTGACTCTTCTGGGGTTCACGACTAACGTTTGCTGGGGACGATGACGCTCGTTAACACCTGCCTCTGCTGTGAGCGCAGTAGCCAGCTCATCTTCGCGTGCACATACCCAACAAGTGAACACTTGCTTGCCTGCCTTGGCTTAGATGGCAATTGCTTTCATGCTAATCCGCGCGGGGAGGCAGCTCCAGTTGCTCTTCACGGAAAGCCGGCAGTGACCGTAGATATGTCTNAAGCCGGCAGTGACCGTAGATATGTCTAACTGATGATGCAACTGCTTTTGGACCTTCTCGTTAATGGCACTGCAGTAGTTATCCGATCGCTTGAAGTTTGAAGGCTATTAAGCCTGAAGTGAATTAAGAGGCATTTTCAGGCCCTGCCCTTTTTGAAGGTCCTAATAGAAAGCGCAAGGATGTCCCTGCTCTGCCTCGCGCTGAATGTAGACGGCATGCATTGGAAGACCAGGGCAAATGGGTGACCACGTTAGCGGGCCCGGTACGGTGTTGGGCCTTGTACTTGTGTTTCAGTGTATGCAGGCTACTGGGGGGTCTTGGGAAACATCTAGAAATTGTTCACAGTGTTTGTTCAGGCAGCAAAAGGGAGCTTGTGTTGGCTTGCTTCTGGGATTGGCTTGCAGCAGCAGTTGCAGCAAGGTGCGCTGCAATTCAGGGCAGGCCACCGCCTTCCAACACCCGATCAAGCCTTTGTTGCTGCATGCGGAAAGATCCTAGAGACAGAAACGGGGGTCGAGAACACTTGGGAGTATATGCGAGTATGGTGACTCTACTGCTGGTCCCGGTGGTCTTTCGTTCGGGACGGCGACACCCGTCATACGTTGCTATACTGCCTGCGCTGTAGCCAGCTCATGGGCGGGTGTGGACCCTACAGTTTCATATG